ATCTGAAAAAAGTCGCCCTTTGAGGGTGGGCCACTGGGGAAAATGGTTATGAAGGGATGGGCCATGCCAAAGTCTTAGGAAAGACATGCTATAACAGTTTAAACAACATAGTGATAGATAACATATCTAGTGCTTTAATCAAATTTAGTCACACAGAAAATCACGTGATCATATTCAACATGATTTTGTCTTGAAGTATAGAGACTGTTGTACTATTCAATATTCATCTTCTATGATGTAACATTGACATTACCATTAATCCATTATATTATGAGATCCAATGTGATCATAGGATTCTCGAGTCTGAACCATGAATCAGATTTATAATCGATGAAGCCTCTGTTAACAAGGTAACAGTTCGTACTTGACTTTGGTTTTAATCCAGCCACGGAAGGGAATGTACGTGTGTTGTTTTGGACGAATTTTCATTAATTACTTCGACAATGAGTAGTTTGGATCTGTAAATCACCAATTTAAATGTACCACAGACTGTACTTTTGGTAGTGGTTCTATTTTAGTCTTGGTATACCAGTGTTATCAAATTCCCCGTAATTAAACCAATTTAATTAAGGTGCTCAAGTTTTCGTTGCCCATGATGATACGCAGATTCTTGAGTAGTACAAAAAGGCGCAGGTGACGTGTGAAGTGGCAGCCTGGTTTACAGGACTAATAAGTTTAAAAATAAGGAAAAGTTAAAACATGTTGTGTAATTAATATATTTAAACACTTAATTTGCATGCTGTGCCAGTGTAATAAAGTAGTATATAAATGGAGATTGCACGTTATCCATGCACGTATATATCCTGTATGTCTGTTATGACTACAGTATATCAAGAAATGTTGGATAAATCATAATGTCAATTTACGTTTCCAGACGCTGATGAAAAATCCTGAGATTTCGAAGATAAGAGTCTATTAGTAACAGAATATGGTACGAGTCCCGAGTCCGTTTTACGTATAGATGTGGAAGAATCGGACGTATCCAATAGCAGGAAGCGAACAGCCAAATAGATGCACTCAATGTTTGAAAGTCGGGGTAGTAAGAAATACATAACTAAATTACTCAAATATATCAATGATTAATTTCTTACCAATTTGAAACGATGATCCACTAACAGCGCACACTGCAGGACAGCTTTTCACGAAAAAAACTTGGCCTTTCATGGCTGGATTGGCAGGATCTGTAAAAACATGAACACATACTGTACATAATTGATCACACAGTGCGAAGTACTTATACTGATAGTAAACATTATGGTACACTGTACTTTTACCAAAGGGATAAATGTTATACCTTTACATTGTAAGAACATCCACCAAGTCATCTGAGAAGAGAAGCACTAGAGATGTTGTTCATGAGGAAGAAAGGAAGAGAGAGAGCGCTGCAGAATGAACTGCAGCAGAAAATGTCTTCTTGCATTGTGAAGTTTAGATGGGATTTGTGTCACTGTTGGAAAAAAGGTTGGCATTCATACATACAGCTTAGGTATTATAAAAAAGTATTGCTAAATGTCATTTGAAAACTGTAGCGAGGTGACAACAGCATCATGATCAGAATAATATACACTCAATACGGAACTGTTGATTATTTGTATGGAAGTTGGCTTAACATAAACATGGTCCAATAAACTACCAGCAGAAACAAATGTGGGCTCAGTAACAATTTTTGTATAGTTTAGAGATTCCATTAACGATATTAGTGGTTGAGAATCAGTGTAGTATTAAGGAGATATCGCAATGCTTCTATATATTGTGATACGCTAGAGTTGTTCTTTCTATACAGTAAAAGGAAGGACCGGGATTCTTGTAGTTTAGTGTCAACAAGAACAAACTTAATAGCCTCGATGGCCATGCTGGAGTACTTGTCTGAATCATGATCTTGACGATAAATTTTAAAAGGTTTTAAATTCGCTGCAATTTCAGCGTCTGAGTCATTAGCCAGAAGCTGTGTTTCAGTAAATGCAAGGACATCAGAATGAAACAACTGCAAATGTAACTTGATATCATTACTATGCTTTCTTAGAGATCTCATATTCAACAGTGATATGGTTACAAACGAGCTGTTGGAGGATTTGTGTTTAGTAAAAGTTCTTAAGCAGGAATTTCGAAGTCTCTCATATTCTTTATGAACTTTTGGATTTGCCTTTATGTGTTTACTTTGTATTTCTCCAAGTATGTGTAAACCTTGTAAAGACGTAGCACGACTTAAGGCTACATAGATCTGGCCATAATTGAAAGATCTTTGTTTATTCAACTCTAAGCTAACAACAACATTTTCAAGAGTAAGACCCTGAACTTTATGAACAGTACATGCCCATGAAAGTGCAACAGGAAACTGTATTCTCTGAATTTCAGGTGAAGAAGGTTTACCTGGTCTAACTTTGAATTTTGCTAAAACAGGCTCAATAAGTACAAGATGATTTTCTCTGGCAAAAGAGTTGGCACTAGTGTTAATCATTGTTTTCCCAGCATTTTCATCATCAAATTTTATATATAGGATAATTGGTATATTACTTCCGTTTACCTGAATTTTAACTACAGTCCCCATTTGTCCATTGATAAGTCGATCTTGTATATTGATATTTGTAGTGAGCATTACTCTGGCACCTTCTTTAATATGAATTTCAAAATCAAGTCCACATATTTCAGAACGCCCTCTTGCTAAAACTCTATCTATATCTTGTTTATTGACATTTTTCGGATACTGATCTTTTGCTTTCAGAAGAAATAGCGGTGATTGAATTGTTTCTAGTTTCTTTTGGTTATGTTCATTCACAGGAGTATTTTCAGCCCAAATGTGAAGGGCATCGGATGGATAGTTAGGATCAGATGTTGTTGTACATCTTGACTGAATAACTTTAATATCATCCTCTGTATGCGAAGCTGTTCTAATTCTATTAAGAAGTTCAGTAAATGCCTTATCATTTTTTTTGTCTCATGATTTCTGTAAGTTCAACCATTTTGAAGACACCCCATGGATGATAAAGATTGTGAGTTTCGTTTTTGTAATCATCAAAAATTGCATTCTTTTTAATTGGAGGAAGCTGGTATAGATCACCCACAGCTATGATACTAATGCCTGCAAATATGTCAGTTGATGACATACCAAAAATTTCTTTCAATCGTTGGTGGACATGCAATAGTGTTATGTTCCCAATCATAGAAATTTCATCTATAATTATAAGTTTTAGATCTTTTAAAGAGATTCTGTACTGTGTTTTTTTCTGGTCAGACATTCCACGAAGGCAATCACCAGTTTCTTTTGGAATGAGAAGCCCTGTATTAACTGTTATTCCATCAATATTTATCGCTGCAACACCTGTTGGTGCCAACAATAGAACAGTTGCTAACTCTGGGTTAAAATGAGGATGTCTAAAGGTCTTAACTGCTGTATGATATATTGTTTTAATCAGGTGACTTTTGCCTGCACCACCACCTCCAGTTAGAAATAGATAGATTGGTTTTACCTCAACAGGTTTTAAATTATTCATGTTTTTTATTAACTGTCTGCACCAAGAGAGAACCATATCATATGCACAGCGTTGTTCTGGGTTTAAGGATCTAACAGACTGCCATAGTTCATCATCAGAAATTTCAGATGGTTGGTTATGGTAAGTAATTATTCCAGATGAATGCTGATTTGACTGTGTAGGGTCAAGATGTGAAGGCTGTTGTTCATTGAAGGACTCGTTAGGATCTGAGAAAATTGGTGTATCATCTTTGAGATCTGAATTTTCCTGATATTTATGGAATCTTATGAGTGAACAATATTTCCTTCATTATTTCTCATTGCTTCGAGTGCCTCAGTTATAGCATCTGCATCAGGTTCAAATTCTGCCCTGTTTTGTTCAACAACAGCTTGAACACCAGGTTCATAAAATGTAGATGTTTTATCAGAACTTAGAAGGTCCGTTTCTTCTCTCCATGGAAAATACAACATAAGCAAATGGTGGAAATATAATTCAGGTTATTTTGTTTTGTTTGGTGTGTGATACCTTAGAACACGTTTAACCTTTCTACTCTTCATGTATTCATTTTTGTTCATTAATTTTATTTTAGGAGGAAGACATTGTTCTCTATCTTCTGTCAAGTTATGTGACTCAAGTAGATTATCATTTAAAACATCAGGTTGGGAGTCATTTGTCTCAGCATAGTCTGTTCTATAGTCTATGTAGTAGAATAGTTTATCAACAGCAGGAATTGCTTTTGGTCTTAAACTGTAACGTTCAATTATATTAGATTTATATATATCAGTACTGTCATCATCAAGTTTATCTAGCTCATTTTTAGTCTTGGTTACAAACACCCTTTTCTCGGGTAAATTGGTATTGACAAAAACTGTTCCTGGGAATATTTTCCTTAACCACAATTTATGCATACATCTATAAACACATTCTTGGGCGATTACTTCTCTTTTAGAGAGAAAAGCTGCTCCAATTTTCTTTAATCCATCTCTAACATTCATGTTGGATGATTTAGCTTCTTTTGCTGCATTACCTATAGCCTGTGAACATTCTGTTTCATCCTTTGTAAAGTATGAGCAAACATATGTTATATATTTGTAGTGATTAAAAACTGGTTGTAAATCAACATTTGCTGCAAATCCCTTAACACCAGCGACAAAATAATTGTTAATAAAACAGCTGTCTACAGGTCTTTTAAGATGTAAGTCAAAGTCAGAATCAGGAGAAGTAGATAAAGCCCAGTAATATTCATCTTCACTTATACCAATTGAATTTAGAATATCTGTCTCTGTCAAAGTGGCATCATAGTTTTCTTTTGATGGATTCAACACTTCATCAATTTTCTGTTTAACTGAACACAGTATTTCCTTACGTCTATTTAATAAACTGCTCTTACTTTCGTCATCTAGATTCTGATCCAGAGGTTCAGCCACAATAGTTTGGTAAAAAATTGCCCAAAATTGAAGCGGCAGCTAACATTTTTATATTTTCTGCACGTTTTTGAATGGTTATGTTTTTGATACATTTTTATCATCTCATATAATTCTGGTTCATCATTTTCATCAGGAAGGTTTGCTTGTACGTGTTTATCAATATACTCCACATAAGCATCTTTGCTCTCAGATCTAAGTTTAGGACAGTCAGACGTCCATATTAATGCATGCAAATGAGGAGATCCTCTCATTTGAAACTCAATACGAAGAGCATAATAAGATATTTTCCCTATAGGATTAATATTACTGAGAAGTACCTCACTAAAAAATGTTTCCACTCTGTGCTGAAAATGCTTTGCAACAACAACAGGATTAGCATTTAGCATTTGACATCTTTCAACATAAGATAAAGCAGCAACTTGCTCCTCAGTTAAATTTTTGCCTTGTGTTCTACCTACTATGTTGGAATGCCAAGTTGTTTTACCATTGCGATAACTTCATACATAAATTTTTGCCAATATGGTGGAGTGCCAGGTATTTGCCTTAAGAATAAGTATGCTTGATCTTGACAAACTAAACTTTTCAATTTATTTACATCAGACTCTATTTGGGAAGCAGTAAGAGGTTGGCCTTGGATCTTTTTCAAAGCTATATTAATGCTATCCGAAACTTTCTTCTGCTCAATCACAAATTGTGCAAAGAACAATTGCAAGTATTCAGAATTTGTAGCAAATCGTCCACTATAATGTAGAAGTCTAGCATTAAAGTACTTAACAGATGTTAGTTTAATTTTTCTTTCTTCCAAATAACCAAATCGTCCTTTTGGAAATAATATTGGAAACGCAAGTTCTTCACATTTCTTGTCAGTCATAATTGATACTGGATGTCTCTTTTCGCCAGGTGCAATATTATATATTTCATTTCCCAAAGAACCTCTTTCAGAAGTTTGCACAGTTACAGGATAGTCTGGAAGCACTGACTGTAAACATGTTTCATTTGTTACTTGCCGATATTCATTTAATGGATCATCAGTTTCTTCCATATTGTCATTTTCATTTGTTGGCAATTTGTTAGAACTTGGTTCGGTTGATGTATCTGTATCAGAAACTTCATTTTGTCCCATGTTTTTAAGATTCACATCGATATTATTCATTTCAGTTGTTACATTGAAATACAGTGGATTATTGTGTTTCAGCCAGTTTAAGGCATTTTCAATAATTTGAGGACGAACTGCTTGAATGACCTCTGAACTCAAGCTTGCGTTTAAGTTTTAACATTATAATACCAGACATTTCAGGTGGTCGTGGTGAAACTTTACATGTCTGATCACAATTAACTGGTACATTACAAATTGCTCCTGACACCTTTTTCTGTTGCCCTTTAGGCATTACAATTATCTTCTCAAATACAATTCTTTGTGCAATAAGGATTTGTTCTAGTTTCTCAAGAAATGCAAGTTCAACTGGAATTTCATCAACAGACATATCATTGTAGACTGCTTGACACGGAATTTTACTTTTTACTACCTTTGAATGACAGGTTGAACAGATATATTCCTTTTTGTCAAATGATGTTATGTTAGTGAATACAGACATTGGCACAGATGAGCTACAACTATTTCTATCTAGCAATCTAACTGATTTTTTATACAACAGTCGGTTGCAAGCAGAACATATATAGTAAGGCCCTTCTTTAATTTTATTACGAAACTTACATATGAAATAGTCCAAATTATGTTCAGTTGATTTAGTTTTTTGGTATGCCTCCCGTTTCTTTGCTTTTTGAGGTGAATTGATGTATCATATTTACGTTTCATGTTTGTTCTGTTTCTCTCAAGACAAGCCTCCTTTTCACTTGCACTCATTTTGTTGTAAGATATTGATCGCTTTTCAAGAATAGCTTTCCGTTCTGAGGGATCAATAGCATTGTGTTTCATAACTTTTTTTTCTAAAAGATCTTTTTTTTTTGTTTCAAATAGTAGGTAGAACACAAGGCAAAAATTTAACTGAGGAGCAAGTTGCTGCTTTATCTTATGTTGAAAGATGTCAAATGCTAAATGCTAATCCTGTTGTTGTTGCAAAGCATTTTCAGCACAGAGTGGAAACAATTTTAGTGAGGTACTTCGCTTTTCGTCCAACTTTACGTTTGTCTCAACTCTTCACCTTTAAGGACAAATTCCTAACGCTTTAAGATCTTGTGTTGTGTATTCCTTCACGTGTCGTTGCTGTTCCGCAACGTATTTGGGCCAAACGGTCCGTCACTTGCACACACGAGTTTATGAACATTTGGGTGTTTCTCCTCTAACAGGTAGTAAAAGCAGCAATCCGACCATGTCTAGTATCCTTTCCCATCTTGATAGCACTGATTTTAAGATTATTTCTTGTTGCTCTTCTCCAGACGAACTCCTCATTCGAGAAAGTCTTCTCATTAACAAACTCAAACCCTCTCTCAACTTACAGGGCAGCTCGGTCCCTCTACTTCTACTCTGATCCATTCCTCTTTCTACTTTTGTAATATAATATCTTGTAAATAGTTGTAATTTATTCATATTTCTGTGTTTTCCGCTTTGTATGTCATTGCTCTGAAGATGTCTTAAGTTAAAGACGAAACGTTAGCTTTCAAATAAATATTTTAAATTATATTTTTGTTATGGCTCTTTTACGTGTTTTATGCTGGGCATTAATATTTATCCTAAGATCACATTCAAATCAATACACTTGCAACCAGTCAGATCAACACATTTAGTATTCAGATCAACCCATTTAACATACAAATAAAAACATTTGGCATTCAAATCAATACATGTTTTGGCATTCAAATCAATACATTTTTTGGCATTCAAATCAATACACTCAACATTCAAATTAATTAAGTTGTCATTCACAGTTAAGTTGGAATTCAAAATTAAGTTTGCATTCAAAGTTAAGTTGACATTCAAAGTTAAGTTGGCATTCAAAGGTGACTTGGCATTCAAAGGTGACTTGGCATTCAAAGTTAAGTTGGCATTCAAAGTTAAGTTGGCATTCAGAGTTATGTTGGCATTCAGAGTTAAATTCACAAGTAATGTGAGGTTGGCATATTTCAACATGATCTCATCCAAAACTGCATCTAAAAAAATAAAAAAAATGTGTCTCTAAAAAAATAAATTGTGATTCAGAGGCGACAGCTATCCTGTAAGTAATTAGGATTTTTTTCTGTGTGGGTGTAATGTACTCAGGTGAATATGATGCTTCTGTTGTTACTCTGAGTGTATATCCACACCGGGCAAGCTTGAAAAATATGCCTGGCCACGGTGGGAATCAAACCTACGACCTTTGGAATGCTAGCCCAATGCTTTGGCAACTGAGCTACAGGTCGGTTCGAGTATGTGATATTTCGGAACAGAATCTAGTTCCTTTGATATCAATGTGATCTGGTAATCATTTCCTTCGATATCAATGTAATCTAGTATTCATGATTTTTTCTGTGTGGGTGTAATATCTCAGATAAATATGATGCTTGTGATGTTAGGAGTAAAAAAATATCTGTGGTTCCGGTTTCATAGCTTGAAAAAATTAGGGTCGGTAGGTCGGAAATAATTTTTTTTTAATATTTTTTTTCATGGTTTTGGCGGTTTTTTTTGCTGGGCGATTTGCAGTAGAGTCCTGACATCAATATTAACTAGAGATGCGTATTTCCTATGGACGAATTTAGGCAATTTGGTTCAATAATTTAAGTGTGACAACAGACGCCATTTTGGCACGCTGTATGAGCAGCCCGCAACCACCTGGAAAAAATAGGGTCGAACGGTCAATCGGGTTGAAAAAATAATAGGGTCGGCAGAAAAAAATAGGGTCGGTCGGGAACCGGAACCACAGGTATTTTTTTTTACGCCTTACTCTGAGTGTTGAATATGATGCTTCTGTTGTTACTCTGAGTGTATATCCACCCCGGGCAAGCTTGAAAAATATGCCTGGCCACGTGGGAATCGAACCTACGACCTTTGGAATACTAGCCCAATGCTTTGGCAACTGAGCTACAGGTCGGTTCGAGTATGTGATATTTCGGAACAGAATCTAGTTCCTTTTATATCAATGTGATTTGGTAATCATTTCCTTCGATATCAATGTAATCTAGTATTCATGAGTTTTTCTGTGTGGGTGTAATGTACTCAGATAAATGATGCTTGTGATGTTACTCTGAGTGTATATCCACACCAGGCGAGCTTGAAAAATATGCCTGCCCACCGTGGCCAGGCATATTTTTCCTCAAAGTAACATCACAAGCATCATATTCACTTGAGTACATTACAGACACACACAGAAAAAATCATGATTACTACATTACATTGATATCGAAGTGTGGATATCACAAGCATAATTAGGAATTCTAAGGAAAATACCATCGATTGCAATTAAGGATGAACGACGTTGAGAAAAACATTGTCTATTCTCACGTGAAAGTCCAATTATGTTTGTCAAGAGCATTTGATCTGATCAAATTATATGTGACTTTTGTACGCTTTAATAATACACAATTTACAACATAAAATGGACCTTTCACCTTTTGACTAAAATTTAGATTTCAACAAGTCTAGACAAAAATTTTATCACAGCTTGAAAGAGCATCACAAAATTAGTAATATTCCGTTGCGAAATGTTGTAAAATGCGGATAATATAGCTTTGCGAAGTTTGCCATTTTCAGTCATTTTGTATTACAAACGGGAAATACATACCCTTTTTCCGAAGGAGGTATGTATTTCCCGCGCGTAATACAAAATGACTGAAAATGGCAAACTTCGCAAGGCTATATTATCCGCATTTTACAACATTTCGCAATGAAACTTTGGACTATTACTAATTTTGCGATGCTCTTTCAAGCTGTGATAAAATTTTTGTCTAGACTTGTTGAGATCTAAATTTTAGTCAAAAGGTGAAAGGTCCATTGACTTAACAGTAAAGTAAAGGTTTGTAGAACATACCTATCCAAGACATTATGTGTGATAGAGATCTTTTCCAGCAATAAAAGTACCATAAATCCATGGGACTGATGAGAGAAAATCGAGGAGAAAATACAGGCATAAAAGATTCATGCAAAATTATTAAAACACATGGCAAAAGCTGCCCGCAAAGCGTCGTGGGATACATATTTTTAGACATAGATATCCTAAGTTATCCCATGGTTAACAGAAAGAAACATATGTTATCCACAGATGCACATAACTGAGAAAAACATATGTTATCCATAGAAATCCATAGATGCACATAATTTCGTTGCCTGAGCCTGCGATGCGCTGATGGAAACTCCATTTCTCGACGACGAAAACGACAAACACGACAGAAAACTGGTGATTTATGACACTTGCCCTTCGGGAAGTGTAATAAACAAACACGATGCTGTTACTATATGATTCTATAAAATGACTTAAACAAACTCGCGATATCTTATATTCATCGTATATATACTGTCCACTATGAATCATATATCGATTCTTCGTTCTCATAAATAATCCGCAATATATTATTGTTCCCGCAAAATATAATATCACGCTCTTGCGTCTTAGCATATACCGTTGCGTCGTACACATGTAGGGCCTACGCAATATATTACCATAATTATACCTCTACATCGTTATTAAACAACTTAAACAAACACATCGAAACAAATTTAGGGGCCGATTACATGGAGAACTTTCAACCCCGGGGTTGAACTCAGCCCTGTTAACCGGGTTGAAATTTTTTGCGATTACATGGACGATTTCAACCCCGGGGTTGAAACGCTATACGACACGTTCTCGGCATCGATTCCCAGAAGTAAAAAAAGCTTTTATTTTGTTTTCTTGAAATAAATTGTCACTACCACGTACGCTCGAATAATTCATGATAATTTCAGCCTTGAAACGATTATTTCAGGTTGAAACGATTACATAACAAAATTTTCAACCCAGGGCTGAGTTCAACCCCTGGGTTGAAATTTCAACCCTGCTAGCTGAAGCAGGGTTGAAATTTCAACCCCGGGGTTGAACTCAGCCCTGGGTTGAAAATTTTGTCATGCATGTAATCGCGCGTTTGATTTTGATAGAGTTTTGTATTACGGACAGGGCTGAAATTTCAACCCGGTAAACAGGGCTGAGTTCAACCCCGGGGTTGAAAATGCTCCATGTAATCGGCCCCTTTAAAATTTATCATATATACTCTTTAAAATATCTTAAACATACAGCAGGCTATTACAGGCAATATATTACACTTTTCGATAAATCGGCTAGCGATCGGCATGAATTCCAGCGTACTACCAGAAACAGTTAAGCCGGTTAATTCGTTCGAGTTTAATATCTAAATGTTTTATTTCACTTTGGATTTTAAAAAATACAACTCTAGGAAGACTGACGGTAAACTTTCAGTTTTAACTCATAGCTATATGAATGCAGCTGAATATTCTATATAGTTAATTTCCAGATTGAGTGTTTCACTCTAGGATCTATTTATTTATTTATTTATTTATTAATTTAACTTTGCCAATAAACATTAAAACACAGAAAATACATGTATGGACAATGGCAGAGGACACGCTACAGCTTACGCCAATTACAGCGGCCCTTACATATAAGATACGACATCACAAACACATTAAACTAATAACAACACGATACTTCACAGGACAGATTACGGGACTTGTTACAGGACAAACATATTGATTTCCATGTTCTTGGATCTATGACCTATGTTCCACCATTCTTCGCCCATTTCATTCAATTACCAACCGTGCTGGTATCTTTAATACCACAAATATTTCCCATTTTCATGCATGATCACTTCATTTCTACTCCAACCACTCATTACCAATTACAGCTATCATACATTGTTATCTAATATTTATAATCGTGCAAAATTCATAATCTTATAACCTAAATTCTTTTTTCCTATAATTCCTTTTCTACATATTTAAGAGTTCTCATGCCAAAGGCAAAGCCCGGCAAAGCTAGTCTTCATGCCTATCAATATTCAAATAAAGCGACAACAAATGTCGCCCATTAATGTCACCTAAATATTTCCGTTACACCTACGTCTTTGCACACAACATAGCCCTCTGTTTTCCATATTTTCATTCTACGCACCGCCACTTCCACTGCACAACAGTTGTCTGAACTTTATCCGCAAATCGTCGTGGCCATATTTTTGTACAATTACGGCAAACCACCTAGACTTGTTGGACAAGCGCATTTACATTACAAGAAATTACAAGCGTAGTAAATAAGGATTGCAATTTTACCATATTACGCCAAGGTAAATCTGTTTCGGTTTTAGGGCAAATTAATCTGTTTGTTAAGAACCTGCATGATGTCATCACATTCAACACTAACAACGGTCTTCAACAATGTCACTAATTAATGTGACAAGTATACCCGAGTTAATTCATTCCAGTTTACTATCTAAATGTTTTATTTCGCCATGGATTTTAAAAAATACAGTGACGGTAAACTTTAAGTTTACAGTATATCAATAATTTGAAACTGAAAACTGCTGCGTCAACTATATTTGCGTTTATAACTCACACAGCGGGAGCTCACGCAAGACTCGAATTGAGTTAAGTTTGTTTCTTGTGATGTATTACTTATTGTTTATTACTTCTTTAACAATTCATATATTAATACGTTCAAAGTACACTGCCCTGCCTTTGGAAGCATTCTTAATTAATATATTTCAATTATGCCTTACCTGGTGTCTACTAAATATTTTGTCGGCAAATTCAGTAATAAATATTAATTAGTCATTTATGGCTGTGCGCATATTATAGTCGAGAGTCATGAGCCGCACTATCTTTGAATTATAATTTTTACTGGGTGACTAAAAGCTAGGAAGGCTATCCCATATTTAAAAACAATGTTCTAGAAACATGGGGGCATTGGGAGCATGCAAATCTAATAAAAAATTTTAACATTCTATTTCTTCATGTATGTTTCACTGACCAGTGCACATAAAAATTACATTTTATCATTTTTTAAAATTTGGATAAAGACCCATTTAATATTTGGTTGATATAAAGCCTTTCCTATCTGTGACATTACTTTTTAAAACCAATATAAATTGATAGTTTTTTTTGTTGTTATCAGATGGAGTAGACAATGGAACATAACATAATTTATTGTCGAGATATTCTGTTGGTAAATGCATTCCAAAGCAAGAATGGATCAGTCGAACGAGGTAGCCTATGGACACAGATTGCTGACAACATGAATTCTTTGGTGAGCCCTAAGTTTATTGTGACACAAAGATCAGTTCGAGAGCACTTGGCAGTCTTGCAGAAAAAGTACCAAAAGAAAATGAGACAGGAAGAGGAGGCAAGTGGTATCTCTCCAGAGAAAACAGTGCTTGATATCCTACTTGAGGAGATTTATGTAGCCGAGCAGATTGGTGAAGCAGAACAAGAAGAAGCAAGCCGAATGAATCAAGAAAACTGACCAGGAACAAGCAAGAGCAGATGATGTGAGACGGACTGCAATGGAAACATTCGCAGAAACTCAAAAACGAAATGGCGAAGAAAAGGAGAAAAAAACGAAAAGGAAACGAAGAAGTGGAGGAGAGATGGTGGATTATTTGAAGGAAAAATTCGAGAGTGAGCAAAAGGTGCGAAAAGAGGAGATGGAAGTCAAATACAAAATGTTAGGATTGGAGGAGAAGAAACACACTGCGAACGTGGCGATGCAGAAGGATGCCAGCAAGCAACAAATGGAGATGCTACATGCAATGCAGGACCAGAACGTCCAACAGCAGAAACAGTAGCAGCAGCAGTTTCAACAACACATGCAACAAACTGCAAACTTGCAAATGATGCTCATGCAAAACCAGCAGGAACAGCAACGGGCAATGCTAGAATTTTTTAGTAAACTAACTAACAAGAACTGAACATTAGAAAACAATTTGCCAAAAAAACTTTCTAGATTCATATTTGATCTTTTTATGTGACTATATGCAGGTATAGTGCCTGTTATGTACACTGTGTTTATTGCTTGAACATCATAGACATACAAGATGGGGAGGGGGGGGGGGGTAGGTGGGGCAGTTGTCCCCCATATTGTTGGGCAGACAAGGCCTTGCATGTTGAGTTGTTGATATTTTTATCCACTTTGTCTTTGTGAAACAATGCATCATTTCATAAAAGTAACAATGTAACATGTTTAATATATCTTTACATACCTGAAAAAGTAGTCATTATATATAGTATAAATTGTTTACATCATGCAAAATTCAAATGTGAGCCATAATGTGAGTAATATACACCACTTATTATTTTCCAGTGGCAGACACAAATGGGGGTGCAAATTTACACTGCTAAAGCAATTATTTGGGTTTCAAGAAATTATTGCCCTCTTAGTTTCTGCCAATGAAACAAGAAGACTATAATAACACATGGGATATAAAATCATGCAAAATACTCATTTAGAGCAGGTGGGTTTAATTCAAAATACATGGATGTAGTGTTTTTGTATAGACATGTTAAGGCATTCCTTAACAGAGCTCCAACTATATACATTTTGCCGACTTGGCTGAGTCTAATTTTCAAATTCTTTTTAAAGTCTAAAAATTTGAAATAATTTAAAATATCACCGAATAGCCATTCCACTGACACCCGTACTTGACTCATGGAACGGTTGAAATCTTGCATTTCCTCGGTAATGCTTTCTCGACGAAAGGGTGCTTGAAGGTGCATCCGAAGTGGGTAGGCTGGGTCACCATAAATGCACATTGGTTCGCCTTGTCTGGAGAATGCAAATTGGCTCATGTTGTTGTACAGGCCAGACTCGCCAAGCATCCGTGCATCATGCATCTTCCCCTCTATTGAGAATATTGCACAAATGTTACATTATGTAAATGTTATTTACAGGTGATAGGGACACCATTTGATATATAAATCACTACCGTAGGAAGCAACTTTGTATTGGGGGGGGGGGGGATTAGTTAGGGTTGATTATTAGGTCATTATTTCCCTCTCAAACTTCACAGATTATCGTTAGTTTACAACGGCCCTGTTTCAAATACTTTGATAAAATTGTCAAGTACCAGCTTTAATATAGACACTGACATAGTACCTGCTGGAAAAAATTAAATTTTATGCCTTGGTTTACTAGAAACTTACCAACTGGTCCATATAAATTAGCAATAATTCCATTGGGCAAAGGCCACAGATTGGAACTTTAGGGCGTGACTCGTTTATGACCATTATATACGACTCTTTGGTTTTTTCCAGGTCTACAAATTTGTCTGACCGTCCCATCTACGAAACCAAAGCAGTTGGTAAGGGCTGCTCCTTTGTTCGATACGGCTGTAGCATATGTCTCAAGAGCTTCTGGGTGTAAAATCTGATGATTCCACTCTGTCAGACGATGGCCATGGATATCAAAAATTAAACTGATCATTTTATTATTAATCATAGCTAATTCAGGAACTGGTCTACCAAAGGTAGGAATCAGGTCAGAATACCTGCAAGGATAGGCAAACCTCTTGAGCAGAATGCACAAGGCTTCTTCTCGTCCACAAATAGTCCCTTGGTAACATTTTACAATTTCTGGAATCCTTAGCGTATCCGCAAGTCCTGGTATATCATTCTTTTCCACTCTAAATTCAGTTTTGCATTCAACTTCGTCCTTTAACTCTAGGTCAAAGGCTGGATAGCTTGTGTACGGATACCCAGCATTCAGAGAAATATATTGTTGGTACAACAGCAAAAACTCTTCTTCGTCCAATAAACCTTCGTCAAAACCAATAAGCAGCAAATCACGAACGGATTTGAAGGATACCATTCACATATTTCACAAAAAATGGTGAAATTATCTTAAAGTCTCTATTGACCAGTAGGGCCTGTACGCGTTTTGCATGTTTGATGCATTGCGAAGAATTTAATAAACCGAACTTCTTAAAAGACGTGAATAAATTGCCTGTAATAATTCCTTGAAGTCACTACATGTATATATACAATGCTAATCGGTAATAAACGACAAATATTTATAGGTCCTATCCTATAGAGACTATAGCGTATATATATAATTGATAGTTATAGCGTATTTTAATTACGCATCGTGATCAATGTGGATAATCTCTGTCTCCATCTGCGCGAAATCACAATACACAGTATAATATAATCATATAATACATTTTCGCATCGTTCGAGACGATTCTACCGACGGACAATACGTATTTACCGACGGTGAATTGCCTTACCATCGGTACCGACGGTACCGGCGGACAACGTTTTTGAGGGCTACCTGATACTCAACCTCGCAACCAGGCTCTCAAGAGAGAGCTCGGGTGCTTCATAACAGCCTCGAAGCGGGGTTGCTTTATAAATACGTCATTCACCAACCGACTTTGCGTATTTACCGATGGTGGATTAATTTCTCCATCGGTACCGATGGACAATCTCTATTTACCGATGGTGAATTGGCTTACGATCGGTACCGACGGTACCGACGGACAGTGTTGTGGAGGGTTACCTTAGCCTCTTTCACTAATACTAACTACCTCATTCACCAACGGACTTTACAAATTTACCGATGGTGAATTTATTTCTCCATCGGTACCGATGGAAAATCTCTATTTACCGATGGTGAATTGGATTACCATCGGTACCGACGGTACCGACGGTACCGACAGACAGTGTTTTGGAGGGCTACCTTATGCCATTGCAATAATGCTAACTACCTCATTCACCAACGGACTTTACAAATTTACCGA